TACTACATAGAAAATTCCTCACCATTTTTGAATGAACTTAGACTTTGCCACACTTATATGCTGTACACATTTCAACTTGTAGTAGACTCAAATAGAAGAAACTCATTTGGTTACCTAAATTATCACAAAATTTGTTCTACTAGCTAAACTGACAATGCTTAATATAGTAATTTCTAGAAAAATTGTATTTAGACACCCTTCTTTGGAGCAAATAATAAATTAGAGAACTTTCATCCTTAACTTTATACGTACTTGAACTGGAGACACTTAGTTACTTCCTTCTTGAGGTGTAAAATTTCATAAAGCAAATTTTGTAACTGGAGATGATAACTATCCACTTGCTGCTTCTCACGATTCAAAGTATCTCTTGATGTTTTGGTACGAAATTTCTCCAGACGATTCAATTTCTTCAACACAACGAATAATAATGAAGCCTGGACACGCTTTTCTGATATATCTGCCAGGACTTGCTCACTATTTACACCTGTATTTTTTGCCTTCAGTTCAGAAATTTCTTCCATTAATGTGCGAATATCATCACATGTCTTACGAAACAAAACCATGTCCTTTTCAGGATCCCGAGCAGATGCCTCAGCTTCCTCGAACTCTATTACATTCTGAAATCAACGGCACATATTACTTACAAAGCAATGGCATAAAATCATTTCCATTTCAATGTCCCGCTGACTAATAATGATATCACGATTACAAAAATATATTCCTCGTTTCCTTTTTCTGACACAGGTATGAGTATTATTTTAACCCGGAAATACAACATGCCGTAGGACTTGAGGTACTCATACCTGTTTTCTGAAATACTGTGTCCTTATTTCAGGCCTTTGGTATTATACAGCGAAGGAGCTTTATTGTAATGATATACAAACCTTATAAATGTCGCCCTCAGGAACTTTTGCTGGAGGTGCAGACGTACTGCTAGTAACACCTTTACGGCGCTTTTTTATGGTATTATCACGCTCTTGAACAGGTTCTTTCACCATTATACTATTGCGTATTTGATTTTGGGCATTAAAACCAGATAACTTCTATATATAGCCACAAGCGTTGTAGCGACGCTTTTACATACACTTCACGTACACAACAATAATAATAATAACAACAATAACACAATTCATATTTTCAAGCGAGAGATCGTTCGATTGCCAAAACACGTTGCCACAACATAAGAGTTGCACATCGATATGGTGGTTTGTCGTATATTTCAACACGCTCCTCAGTATGCTCGCCGAGAGAAAGAAACGCGTAAAATGGTCATTAAATCCTCGTGGAAACTTTTGGAGTCAAGGTACGCCGCATGCATTCTTTCATATGGCATTATCATTTAATGCACAGCATACCCACATTCAGCGTTTGATGAATATCGTGACCTGGAACATAACCTTAAACTTTATGCTTCGAGTCACACAATTTGATTGTATTGCCCCACGTATATAATGGCACAGCTTTATTCAATAACTAAATGAAGTAATTGTGAAGCTGAGAACCTATACACATTTATTTGCTTGTCACTGAATTTAGATTATATTTAAGGTTAGTGGCCCTAGCACAAACCGTACCAACATAAGTAATATAGGACTAAGCCATACTGAATAATTTTAGCTTGTGATTGTGGTTACTTTCAGATACAAGCAAGTTTGGTCAGCAGATGTTAGAAAGGATGGGATGGAAACCTGGTTGTGGGTTGGGAGCTAATGAGCAAGGCATCACTGAACACATCAAAGTAGCATACAAATCTGACAAGAAATGTAAGTGCATGAGCTGAGGTTTGCATGGTGGAAGCAGTATACTTTTGTGCACTTGTGAATCCTCCTCTTCCTGGTCACAGTAGTGGCTGGTAGTCTAGTTTGTAAGCAGAGATTATTTAGCACTAAATGAGAAGACAAAATTATCGTTATCGTCATCCTGTCAGCTGTTTGAATATGTGGCTTGTTATGATTTCATGCTATATCTTCAGTGATCTTTCTGAATTTCTTCATGTTAGGCTTGTTCTGTATGAAACTTGAAAACAAGATGTACAAACTGATTGCTGGCAAGAAAGCAGTGAGTCCTATAATAGGGATGCTATCTTCATTTCATCTTTGCACAGGGTTTAATGTGATATTTCTGCCAACTTTGATGGAATGGTTATACTGCCATGACTTGGACCCCAGAGCCTTATTACTTCAACAGGTTGAACCACAAGTATGTGAGGCTGGGGATTAAATATAGGAGGCTATTGGAGACATTTTCCTTCTCTTGAAGCTTGATGTATTGTGAGGAAAAGTTGTTATAGTACAGTGGTTTTTGAAGTGATGGAAAGGAAACATCATAACACAATTCTTGCTTCTCCTTGTACATTCATACCAGTAATTTTTGAGTGTTGTAGAAACAGAAATAACACAGTACAATTTAATACTGACACTTTTTTGATAAATGCTGTCTGTTGGTAAAACCTTCATACTTGCTTAAAACATATCTTGAAGATGACAGACTTGTCTTCCTTTAATGATGTCCTTAACATATGAGACAGGAGAGGCCAAGAAATTTTTTAAACTTAATTGACAGCAAGCTTCTCCATAAAAGATAGATGTGCTGTACAAGGACCTATCCTATTATAGGCATTGGCTACAAGGAGCATGGGGATGAATGGCTAGAACAGCAGTCACAATTTGAGAACTTGCTGGCTGAACTGGGCAGTTCTCATGATACTGCAGCACCTAACAAGGGGAATGAATCGCTGGAGCTCCGATCTCGACAGTCCCGCGCCCGTGTCCAGTGAGTTCATTAATTGTGTTGATTATTGATATTTGTGATAGCTAGGGATGTTTTCAAATGAGCTGGGAAATATTACCACTCTGTACAAGGCAACTGTGGTATGTCATACATTTGCCACCATATATATCAGTCAGAACTGGCTGTATGTTGGATTGCTGGTATTCAACTTCCAATAATGAAAAAGGGATTCTTCTCTTCACTACTATGTTCAGAACAGTAAGTATTTCCTCCAAGCCATTAAAATTCACAGTTTGCATATCCCTATACATAAATTTGATATTTGCTATTTGTTGGTCATTTAGTGCTGATAATTAATGAAGATCTCAGGGTGTATGTTCAATAATGTAACATTCCTGTCTTTCACTGTTCCAGTTACCACAAATTCACACGTGGGAAAGACATAAGCACTTACAGTGATAAGGATCTAGCTTCTATTCTTGGTGTTAAGAAACAATGTGATATTCCAGATTACAGCAATGTTAAGGCAAGAGACAATGACATGAACACCCTGATAGGGAAGGTAGACAATTTATATGGAGTAACAACTGTAAACGGGGGTAACATGAATGATTATTTTATTAAGAAATATAAAAATATTGATGATGCAGCTGAAGAGAAACAAGCAGAGTCCCAATGTGAGAAAGAAGAAGTGGGGATGGAATTTGGAGAGAGTGTACCTGAAGCTCAGATAGGAACAAAAAAGAAACGGAACCGAAACAACAATGAAAGCTCTGACACACAGGGAATGTTTGTTGATGGACAGGAAACAAAAGAAAATAATTTGGTACTGAATAGTGACAGTGAAATTTTTTCAAAATGTATGAAAAAGAAAAGAAAACTGAAGCAAGAGGCAAAAGATGGCACACAGTTGCCAAAGGATGATGAAAAAATTGATGAAAGAAATACTGAGCAATGTAGTGAGAAAGGTGCATTTAATTTTGAAGAGAAAGATAATATGATAAAGCAGGAACATAAAAGAAAAAAGAAAAAGAAACAAAAAGAAAATCCAGATATGGAAGGAAGGGAAGCTGAACAAAAAATAGATGGAAATGAAATGAATGATTACAGAGGAAGTTATTCACATTACAGGACAGAGAAAAGGAAATTGGATCAAGAAGTAAAAGAACATTTGCTGAAGGAAGAAGAGATAATGAAACAAAATGGAAGAAGTGCTGAAGAATCAAACATCAAGAAAGACATGTATGGTTGTGAAGTGGAGGATAACAAAATAAAAAGGAAAAAGAAACAAGAAAAATACGCTGAAAGCCCAGATGCCGCATATGGAGGGGAAGATGAGACACATACAAATGATACGTTATTGAATCATGACAATGTGAATGGTTCAAATTGCAAGAAAAAGAAAAGAAAACTGAAACAGGAAGTGACAGAAAGAACAGAGGATGAACAAAGGGATCAGGGTAAAACAGGGAAAAGTGATTTCGATAAATTGGATCAAGAAGTAAAAGAACATTTGCTGAAGGAAGAAGATATAATGAAACAAAATGGAAGAAGTGCAGAAGAATCAAACATCAAGAAAGACATATATGGTTGTGAAGTGGAGGATAACAAAATAAAAAGGAAAAAGAAACAAGAAAAATATGCTGAAAGCCCAGATGCCGCATATGGAGGGGAAGATGAGACACATACAAATGATACGTTATTGAATCATGACAATGTGAACGGTTCAAATTGCAAGAAAAAGAAAAGAAAACTGAAACAGGAAGTGACAGAAAGAACAGAGGATGAACAAAGGGATCAGGGTAAAACAGGGAAAAGTGATTTCGATAAATTGGATCAAGAAGTAAAAGAACATTTGCTGAAGGAAGAAGATATAATGAAACAAAATGGAAGAAGTGCAGAAGAATCAAACATCAAGAAAGACATATATGGTTGTGAAGTGGAGGATAACAAAATAAAAAGGAAAAAGAAACAAGAAAAATACGCTGAAAGCCCAGATGCCGCATATGGAGGGGAAGATGAGACACATACAAATGATACATTATTGAATCATGACAATGTGAACGGTTCAAATTGCAAGAAAAAGAAAAGAAAACTGAAACAGAAAGTGACAGAAAGAACAGAGGATGAACAAACGGATCAGGGTAAAACAGGGAAAAGTTATTTCGATAAATTGGATCAAGAAGTAAAAGAACATTTGCTGAAGGAAGAAGAGACAATGAAACAAAATGGAAGAAGTGCTGAAGAATCAAACATCAAGAATGACATATATGGTTGTGAAGTGGAGGACAACAAAATAAAAAGGAAAAAGAAACAACAAGAAAAATATGCTGAAAGCGTAGATGCCGCGTATGGAGGGGAAGATGAGACACATACAAATGATACATTATTGAATCATGACAATGTGAACAGTTCAAATTGCAAGAAAAAGAAAAGAAAACTGAAACAGGAAGTGACAGAAAGAACAGAGGATGAACAAAGGGATCAAGGTAAAACAGGGAAAAGCGATTTCGATAGTTCTCTTACAATCTGTAATCGATCTAAAAAGAAATGTGCAAAGAATTTATTACAAGAGAACGATGAATCTGTTTACTATCAAGATATCATACCAGCAGGAGATCTGACTACAGAGAAAAAATATTCATCCAAGGAATTGAAAAAGGCCAAGAAATCTGTTCACAGGGATTCTGAAAAAGTGGATCACTGTGAAATGGAACATAATGAAATTGTGGAAGAGGAAGCCAGAAAACAGAAGATGAAGAAACGGAAGTACGATAAAGATGGAAGTACACATAACATTCAAGAACAAACACTTGTACAATATAATGTGGAAGAAACTGATGCTGAGAGCCACAACAGGAAGAACTGTGAAGAACCGTCAGAGAATGTTGAAGATTCAAATGAGGCTAGAAATAATACCAAATTTAAACAAGATGTTTGTAATTCTAATATAAAGAACACTGCTGGTGCTAATATTAGAATTTCTGACTTCGAAAAAATTGATGTACGTTTAAGAAAGATGAAACCGTCTGCGTTTGCGCAGTTTGTAGATCCGTCACTTATCAGATTTAGAGGATCAAATTTATTTAGTATTCCAGGTTATGGCTGTTACTGAATTGAAATTTTAAACATTTAAAAAGTGTTTACACAGTTTCTGTTGCTCTTGATCACAGTGAATGAATTTAAACACCAAAGTGAGAAAATGTTTTCCTTTCTGAAGTTCCCTGTTATGCTTGTTTGATCTTCCTGGTCCCTACCTTCCTGAAGAATGGGGAAGAGTCCACTTTAAGTGTAAGGTTCCATAGGTTGAAATTCAATTTAATGCCACTGATAGGGTGGTGATGAAGCTGACAGCAAAATATGGAGTCAAAACCATGTGGTACCGTGGCATTTGTAATATTCTTTGACTTCATTACATATGAGGAATTTAGGATCATGTGCACTGGATGTGGCTTGTTTTGAACCTTAAACCTTCAACGTGTGAGGTCAGTGCCCTACTGTTTATCCTGCTGAGTAAAATCATGAATGGGAGGAAATTTAATTTTCAGTGAGGCTAGGCCCACAGAAATTGAGAGATTATATGGAAATGGCAAACATGCAAAATAGAATTCAGGTGAATACTATACAAGAGCAGCATTTTAGAAAAACATTGATAGATTGACATAAGTTTTATCAATTACAAGGTTATATATGTAATGTCAAACCTCAACCCATATAAAAAAATTATGCTTCAAATGTCTATATGATTATGAATAATAATATGAGAAGTGTATGATAGAGAATGATCATGGCCTATTTTAAAAAGTATTCCTAGAGTCAGCTGGTCAAAAAATCCTATTATGTACCTTGAAAGTTTGTTTATGTGTCAAAATAATTTATGTAATTGGAAATTAATCAGTTACAAATGTAACTGTAATTCAAATTCTGGTTCATCTTTTGAGCATTATTTAGTAAGATACCCCTTACAGTTTGATTGTTTAAGGTTCCTGGAGATGGCAGTAAATACTGGTATGATCACAGGTATATAAGACTTGAAATGAAACAGCAGTGATGGAATATATGCCTTATGAATATAAATTTGTTTGCTATAGGTCTCCAAATTCAGTAACGACGCCCCTTCTGAAACTAGTCACATGATGTACTACGCAATGTTATCATATAATCTCACAACATCTGGGTCATCCTCCAGTTTATCATACAGTTTCTTGACAACTTCAAGGTCAGCATCACTCAGGGTGACTTGTCTCTTTGGGATGAATTCACAGTCAGCTGTCTTGATCTTGTACTGCAACTTCTCCAGCTTTCCCTTCACTTTATTCAGAACTAGTGGTTCACAAACAAACTGCAACACAACACATCTCACCATTCTCATAACATTTATCATCTGCCATCACCCTTTAAAGTGAGGTACTTTCAGCATTTTATAATTTTGATACAAAACTCTATTAATCAACAAAATCTTGGTAGAATAATTTGAAATAAAAATATTAATAGAAATGTAAGTTTACTATATTGATGTCCCTATTCTGATAGATGGGTGATTACTGACTAACACATAGCAGACTGAAATTTTTCTTCACTCAAAGCAGGAAGGTGACCAGCAACATGTAATACAGGGCACTGAGAACAATTATTAGTGATGAACTGGAATCAACAGGAAAAAAATGGCTGTGACACACTTAAAGTTATTCTAGAATTCAGATGAAAGGACTGAAGAAATGCACAAACAGTCCACTATATGTGGGAAGCATTCATCACTTACTGTGCATTGGCAACATACAACATACTTGCAACACATCATCTTCTGAAGCTTCCAGTTCAGTTACATCTTCTGCACCAACTTCAATAGCATGATCTACAGCTGTCTCCAATGATGTCTTTTCAGGTGGTATGGCCTCAACCATTCCTTTATGCTCAAATAGTCCTGGAACTGCACCATCTGTAAATGAAGAACTGCCAGAATATTAATGCAGCTAACCTTATATACATATTATTTAAACTAATGCCTAATGGTGGAACCTGGCATGACAGTATGACTACACTAAATATATTCTTTTAAAACTTTATTTTTAACTATCAAACAGACAAATTTTCCTGCAATACTTACATTAGTTTCAACTGAAATAACAATTTAAAAAATATTTAAGTTGGCAAATCGATTAGTTTAGGATGACACTGTGAGGTACTTCTAATAGAATACAAATCATTCCTGGAGCATGAATTGTTGAACAGTTTTTACTGCAAAAGTCACAACAGTGAGCAGGCAAGCAGTGTTGGAAGGAACATACATAAACACCAAAACCAAGCAATTTCAAGACACTTTGATTGCCTCAGTAAAACACAAGGACTCTTGTATAGTAGGGAATGCCTTGTACATTTCTCCAATATTTCCATATTTTTTATTTTCTTATTTCTCAATATACATTTTAATTTTTTGATAATGTGTTCATGTAGGGGCTAATAAGAACGTAACATAATTTTTTGAGAAGTTTATGGCAGGTGATAAACAGGTGTGTGCTAAATAGGTACTGGTACAAGGTCACTCTACTGTAAGTTGCTCTTATCCTTTAGATTTCAATATGTTAAGAATGCCAATGGAGATTTCATCAAAGTATTGCACCAACTGGAATTCAAACTGGATCTCTCATACACAAACTATCACAAGTTACTTACTTGCACTTTTTTACAGCTGTGTTGAGTCCAGCTCTTACTCTACTAAGATTGTCAGTTAAAGTAGACACTATGATAGTACAACCACCAGGACCACGGATTTCAAAGTGGCATACTTTTGCATTACATTTTGTGTCCTAAAACAAAGAAACATAATAGATTTACAGGTCCTAGCCCTGACTATTCATAAGTATTTTATATTTTGGTTTTGTTTATTTATGTCTTTCTGGCTTCAAAATAATAGTACAGGATATGGAATCAATGGGAAGTGTTTGGATGATTACATATTAAGGAGGAAGAGGTTGTGGCTCCATCCTAGAATATTCATAAACAAGTTTGAAAAAACATGAGAAACATCAGTCAGTCTGGACAAATTATTGAAACTAGGACAAGCTATAGTTATGAAAATCTAGCTGCAGCAAAACTAAGTTTCTTATTTCTCAGACATATGAAAATGTTTTTGAGAAGCTAGATGAAACAAGCACACTCCAACTCTCTTTGTGAATGAAGAGTGTCTCAACCAGAACAACAAGGATTCATGGTGACAGTAGCAACAAATTCAGTGGGCCTTTTCTCTATGCCAGACTGATTTCTAATTGTCATTTTGCTAGAGGAAAACCTTCATATGGACTCAAGCACTTTATAAAATAAATTATTAGATTACAAAACCACAGGCTAATATCAATAACTGAAATGCCATTTTAAATCAGTACGCACATAACACAAATTACTTAGGCTTTACTTTATCTGACATCAAAATTTGTACATATCTTATTAGAACTATGTAGTGATTTCAGTGACGATAAGTATTTTGTTGGATATTTATATACAGTTAAAGTCTGTCAGGGGTAAAACCAATAACTATCAAAATTAACATTCTGTTATCATTTACCTTGCCTTGTTTGATTGCATTCTGTATTGAAGCAAATGGCATGTTATATTTTCTTGCTTGTAGAATTGTACTTGATAACTGAGAATTAAAGTTAGGGTCAGAGCTTCCACCTTCTGAAAAGTATAATTGAATTATTAGCAACACAGATATTAATTTTTAAGCAGTCTCATGTGCAATTATTCTTGTCCACCAGAAATGAAAACCAAATGGATGTACATAGTTCAAATACATCTTTCCAATGCTAAATTATGCACACAGAATTCATCTATTCCACCAAAAAACAAAATATATTTTGAAAAGCAAGTAAGAAATATATAACATACTTACAACAGGAATAAAGAGGATTCACTATGCACTGAATGAGAACCATGTCAGATACCCAAACTTAAGAGTAACAACATTGCATTTTCTCAAGATTACACCATGCCTAGTAACAGTTTATATGTCTTACATCACATACAAGATTCATTAAATCAATACTGTTTACAATGAGAAAATGGAATTAAAAGCAAATCCATTATAATTCATGGGATTAGGTTTACGTTTAACGGAGCTGTTTCAAGTCTAATACTAAGAAAGAATAAAAAAATTATTAACAGGTTTCAGAATTCAAAGTGTAAAGTCTGTCTATTACAGAGTATATTTGTTAATATGTTACAACGAGGGTGGAATACAACGCCTTCACCATACTGTAGTTCTGCTTCCAAGCTGTGAATTATACTAAAACTCATTTTGAATTAACTTCTTGTAACGATACTTTCCTTGTACTGCTAGGCGAATAAGCCGACCCATTTTCTGGAATATCAACGACTTCTGGCTGTCTTTTGCTGCTTTAACATGTTTTATATTAGCCCATTTACTGTGTCCAGCATTGCGTCTTGTTTCTTTAAGGTTAAGTACGTCTAAGCTTATTCTTCCAACGCGTACAAAATTCCTGATTATTTGGAACATTTTACAGAACTTGATAATTACGTATGAGCCTGTTATTCAATCGAATACATATCAAAACAATATTTATAATTTAATTTTAAGTCACCGCACTTCAACAGATAATCGCACAACATAGACCATTTTAGCAGTGTAGCCAATCTCTGTCATCATAAATTTCCTTGATTTCCTCTGATTGCAAGATCATCATCTTCTTCTTCTTCTGTTGTAATCAATCCTAGGATTGCAGCTGATACTTGGGAAATCCTGAGGATCTTTAAAGCGGTGGATTACCCTTCCCTTCCGCATCCTATGCCGTTGAACCATACCGGTGGTCATTCGGTCTGTGGACCAAGATCATCATTGACATCTCAGAATTCAGGACTCCGAAGTCATCCTATTATTGACAACAGTATTGGCGAGGGCATGAATTAATGTAAAGATAAGTGCATTGCCGCGCCATCTGTTGGGAAGGTATTAAGTAATGGGCCCGCGAACATTTTCTGGCCCGTTTACCTCCTTGAGTATCCTATAACCCGGATAGAAACATCGAAAACTAAAAGCTAGGTTAGCTGCTTCGCCCTATATTGGCAAAGACATGAATGAACATGAACTGCCTCGCCATATGCTTTTCTTCAGTCCTTTCATCTGAATTATAGGATAACTTTAACTATGCCACAGTCACTTCTTTACTGTTGACTACAGTGCGATATTACATGTAGATGGTTACCTTCCTGCTTTGAGTGAAGAAAAATGCCAGTCTGCTATGTGTTAGCTAGTAATCGCCCTTCTATCAGAATATAGACATGAATATAGTATGGTAGTAAGGATATTATGTACATTTTTATTAATATTTTCATTTTAAAATTATCCACTCTTGACTTGTCCATATATATATATATATATATATCTCCACATGACTAGCTAGACAGTCCGTATATATTATTTCAAGTTTACCTCTCTACAATACTGGCTTTTGCAGATGGCTTCCAGCCTTTCTATTTGCCTGGTATGTGTAGATTTATGAACAGCTCCATACCTCTGTATAATAATGTCTATAGAGATTCCTCCCTAAATCTATGTAGTGTGTCCTATCTCTCCTGCTGGCTGTATAGATGCTTCTCTTACTGATCAACCTGACACCATATAAGGCTAGGTATTTATATGTCCCTCTCAGTCTGTATTACCCTGCCCTTTGTACAACACTAAAATTTCTGACTTTGTTCAGGATGTGGTAAGGATATGTATCAAGCTAATAGGAATAATAGCAGCATAGTTGATTGAAGGGAAATTTTAGGTGTGGGTATGTTCATGGTAGGATCAACATTAGGAATGTGGGAAGGATATGGAAATGAGCATGGTTAAAAGGGACTAGGATTTAGCAGGTGCAATTGTAGGACCAGGCTAGTGCAGGGTCTGGTCATTAAATTTAAATGGCACAGAAATAACACAAAGTCATTTGCTGGTCAAGACAAGAGCAGACAGGGTGCGAGAACTGGGGCAGGAAATGACACAGATACAATAAATACGCATACGTCAAAGCTTTACTGACAAACATTTTAGTAAATTTTCTCAACTGGACATGCTTACTAAATTACTACAGTTAGAATTTAGCAATGAAGTGTAAAAGCACTAAACAAAAACTTTTTCGTTGCTTTCAATATATGCTGAAGATAAATATTTGTACAGATCCCTGTACTACAATGAAAATTAATAATAAAATAAAAACACTAGAATTTGTACACTCTTTACATTCTTCTTGGCTCAAGTATAACCTAGGAAGAGATCATTTCGACACTGCGTCTCTGACGTGTACACATTTTGCAACTCTCTAAGTTCACATTGTCACGCACTTAAATCGACAGCATCGTCTGAAACAGAGAAACAGGTTTTGAGAAATTATTAACTTTGGGCGAAGCATAAACAATAAGAAGGTAATTTAATAAATTGTTATAAGACAACTTTAGAATTTCTAGAATGATTTACAGAAAATGGAAATTAACTTTTAACTTACATCTATGAGGCAGAAAATAATAAATTTGTACTCTTCGCCGAATATTATTAGCAAGATGAAATAAAGGCGATGATTTGTAAGAAATGAGGATACGTGGACAAAGGAATGAAAGCATATACATATTTGGCTGAAAAATGTAAAGGTAAGAAATAAATTGGGAGCCCTAACCAGACAGAAAGATTATTTTAAAATTGTTTGTAAAGAAATATGGTATAAAACTGTGAATGAACTGGTAGGATTTGAGGTTCGGACAGTGGCAAATATGCAGACGGCTGTCTTCTGGATAGAACGAGTTCAGAATAGGGTCCAGTGGTAGGTTTCTATGAATGTGGTAATTAACCATCATCCACAAAAATCCAAAGTTCTTTTACTGAATTCCAGCCATGGAAACACAAGAACAAGAATTACACAACAAATATAATGAATTGAGGACTGAATACTACCTCAGTACATCATGCCAGGGTGGACTCCGCCTCTCTGGAAGAACACATTGGGGTTGCTGGAAAGAGTTGGCTCCAGGGTGGTGTACAAATTGCCATCCTCAGGTTTCACATAAAAACCTCCTGAAAGATAAAATAGTGACAGTGGTCATTATTCTACAGGTTTTAAAACAAAATTCTGTAAGACTGGTCAATTGGTAGGCGTAAAGCTGTAACTGAGGAATTTAATCATAAAAAGGCTAATCACCCCCTATCGCATGCCTCAGGTGATAGATGAATGGACTAATGACTGGTCGGGAAAGAAAGAAATACATGTGGGGAAGAGAATGCTGGGGAGACCTAGACGTAGATGGGAGGATAATGTCAGGCGGGATCTATGGGAGATAGGGGTCGAAAGAGACTGGATTTTGTTGGCCCAGGACAGGGTCTGGTGGAGGGCTTTGGTTAATTCGGTGATGAACGTTCAGGTTCGGTAAGCCATCTACTTAGTTAGTTAGGAAGCAACAAACAAACAAAAACACTAATTGCTGAGAGATGACAGGACATATTTCTTTCGCTTTATAAAGTCAATAAATAGCAAAAAAAATTAGAAATGTCAGTCAATACGAACTGCACACCCCCCAAAACTCTACCTGGCCGTCAGATGTTTGGCACCTGCTGCTATTGCTCATAATCTTTTCACACATCACAACATCCACATTGTCCTTCAGCTGAGAAACAATGAATCAACAATCATCAATGCAACTCACTCACTGAGATTCAACCCACAGCATTCCCTAGACAAATCACCAGAAATGTCTTTCAAATTAAGTATGTATACACTACATTTACAGCATCTGTACAATGTTACCAACTTCAGTTCCGTGTGACAAAAAGTAACTAAATTTTCTGAGACCGATAGAAATATGGAAATGACACGCATCTTTATTTTCCACCTTTTAGGCATTCTTCACACCCATTACGGGCCTGTCTGTGTCTGTCTGTCACATTATTCCTTGAAACTAGGCAACCACTACGACCTGAGGTCATTCTTGGAAGAGACTGTAGCAACAGTGTCAACCAAGGTCACTGTTGGGACACCTTGCAACAATGTGAACTGAAGCCACCTCCAGTAACATTACTACAACAATGACCATGAATGCCACTGTTGCCTTTGATACCATTGTTGGATTTATTATTTCCTGGGTTGCCCTGTTGTCACTGCCAGTGATGTGGTGTCAAGAACGCCTTTGGAATTTCAGTGCACTCCAAAAAGCACTGATATCCAATCTTGTTTTTACAGCTCGTAGCTTATTCTTGAAGCAGAAATTAACCCACATGCTAAAGCTGTATGACTGTTGTGATGTGGTGAGAAATAAATTTGTGCTCAAGGTCTGAACAGGATGTTTTGTATCAAAATTTGGATACTGCACCCACCTGGGTACCGTGGATAGTAACAGTATGGGTAGTAGTGATACATTCTCGTGTAGCTTGGAGGTGCTGCCACCAGTGCGACTCGATCTGAAACATAACACGTGGTGCAAGGTAGTAACTACAGCTGAGTCTATGTAATGTTTGTCAGGACGGCTGTTAAGCTGAAACTGAAGTTATACAATACGAAATTTTGTCACTTTTCATCTTCTCCTAAACCACTGGAAAATTAATTATTCCCACAGTAAGACGTGACACTTAAGGGGCTTTATGTAACGATAAAATCCACAATTAACGATTTAATTATCTGAACTAGTTTTAGATTAGACTATATTTAAAAATACAGGACACAACATGGGGTCCGCAGTGGCCGCGCGGTCTAAGGCGTGGGTCTTGTGCCGCTTGGTCGCGGGGACTGTGAGTTCGAATCCCACTCAAGCCATGGATGTTTTTCTGTGTTGCGCTGTCCTGTGTGACGGGTCGATCCCTCGTCCAAGGAGTCCTACCGAATGCCTATAGATCAAGCCAACTAAAAAGGCTGGGGACCAGTAAAGGGTACCGGAAAATGTACAAACATTGTTAATCCGGAAAAAGAAGACACAACATTAATTATAGAGACAACTACTTGACCGACTAATTAACTGACAAGGCTAATAGTCTGGGTGACTAGTTGATTTTATTAACTCACTGACTGTTCCAGCCCCATTTGATTTAAATTATAATCCCTGAGGCAGAAACAGAATCACGATGTAATGTATAATACCATGGAAATGAGAAAAGAGCTTGTATGCAATTGTAAATTACAGAACATACTGTTATCACAAAAGTAAACAATAACAAAAAAATATTCACGCAGATGTGCGTACTCTGGGTCCCAAGCAGGATTTATACGTATTTATGGCTTTCATTTGCTATAGTTACCACCTGATATGATAAAGTTGAGTGAACCCCACAAGATTTGGTTGTGTTATCAACCCCAGAACACACAGAATTAGGATATTGTGTCCATATTTATTATATTCACATTCATGTGTTTGATACTTTAATTACATAACCTCATTCTGTGATAATAATTATTAGGTGTTTGATAATTTTTTTAAGTAAATCAGTTTTAATGGGCTCTGTTGTCCACATTAATTTCAAAATAGCCCAGTCTGACCCATTATTAAAATAATTTATTACCCATGATTCACATTGAATTTCATTTTTGAATCTTGACAAATGACATTCTGAAATTTTTGAAAATATATATAAGTCGATAAAGACGGTTGGAAAACAAATGAGCATGCTTCTATTGTCTGAAGAAAGATATTTTATTAAATTTATAATATAATTTAAATAGTGTTGGCTTTGATGCAAATCACTATTAAAAATTCCCTCTGTTCTAAGCTGACATCTGTTTACAAATTTCTATTAACTTTCAGAAATCTGCAGTTCATGACCCCTAGACAGTACGGAAATATTTTCCACAAATATCTTACTCTCAAAAAGTACTGGAATGTGTTAAAAATCTAGATGCCTTTTTGAAGCTTGGATTATTTTTTTGTGACAAAACAAAAACTTTACAACTCACTACTGCAAAATGTTTGTAGAAACTTCAGCTTAGTAAAGTGATCAGTAGGCGTAACAAACTGACCAATCAGCAGACCAGTCTTGCTTGTAGTCGAGACTGGTTCATTACATAGACTCTGTGCTTCTTCACCCATCATGCAAAGCGACCAAAACAGATATGCGTACGTATTTACACTCTACTTGTACCATGTGCATATACTTTATACACCGAGACTTCTCAAAATAACTTTATAATACAATGAGTCCCTAGGTTAGTTCATGCCAGAAAGGAGTATAGGAGGCGTGGAGACATGCCTGATGCTGTGGTCATCTTTACAGATGTGGAAACAGCCCACTGAAAATGCAGACGGGCTGACTGAAGAATCATTCTAAATGCAGCGGTGAATAGAAAAACCTCTGCCCATTCAGGGAAACAAATCCAGGTTTTCCCGCAGGTAGCTGGAATTGAGCTGTTGAGAACTGACTGTCATGGCTACCACCAGCTTCGTATTCTGAAGGTCCCAGGTTAAAATCTCGGCAAGAAGTCTGGCTATCCCATCTGACTGTTTCATGTGCATTTGTCAGTCCTTCCAGGCGACTGCCGGTCTCGTAACTTAAATCAGGCAACGACCGCTTCCTTCATTTTCCTTTCCATTTCATCCCATCAAACGACACAAAACAATCTGAGCTACTGACAGTTTTATTGTATAAAATATAAACATAGGATTAGCGAGCTACAGTTTGGAAGCCATTTTTTGTAGAAAAGCGAGCTAAATATGAAAATGGAGTTTAATGTTGTGCACCGCCAGGCTGACAGACCGGAAGGAAGTGTTCCGTACGGTAACTCCAGGAGACAGTGACAAAAGACAGGCTCACGACCTCAAGAAGCAATCGCTGTCATACGCCTCTTTCTTTAAGATCTCAACTCGAGTCGTGGCTTGACTCTGCAGCTTACCAAGATACAGTCATCAAAACACCGTTTATAATCAGTGTTTTGCACAAAAAGCTGAGAGTATGGCCGGTCAATGTCGACGGAAATGAACCTCTTTTGTGTCTAATTAACTGCAGCATTGTCTTAGCAGATCTCACGTAAAGTACACACTTTACAAAATTTCATTTTTTAGTAAAATAAACGAGAAAAAATCTTCATGACGACTTAAGTCAGATCCCTGCAAAACGAACCAACACAAAACCGACAGCCTGACTCCAGGCTCGAGTCAAACGCAGACTCCGCCAGACCCCACCATAGGCCCCACTGTAACCTCGTTTGCATTTCTTGAAACCACCACCAGAACTTCATTTTCTTTCCACATCGAACAAATAGCGCACTTGTACAGACACGTGACGGACATTGGCTATTATATTGCGAGTAGATGGATGATGCTAGACTGATAGAAATAAAGAAAGAAAGCAGTAAATAAACGAATAGAAAAGGAAAGGAAAATATAAAAATTAGTGAAAGGGGAAAGAAAGAAAGAAACAAGGCAGTGGGCATGTCAAGGATAACACATGTACACAAACAGCGCGCCCAGCGAATCCAGAGCGAGTTACCAGGAACAGAATTCAAGATAGCATCACTAAACATTGGGACACAGCCAAACTGTTCCACAATAAAAACAAATGCTGTAACCACTTTAAAATTAAATCGAAAGTGCTGCACTGGTCCACTTTTACTGCTGACTCCCACTTGAAAGCCAATTTTTATTTTTTTTCCTTTCCATTTCATCCCATCAAACGACACAAAACAATCTGAGCTACTGACAGTTTTATTGTATAAAATATAAACATAGGATTAGCGAGCTACAGTTTGGAAGCCATTTTTTGTAGAAAAGCGAGCTAAATATGAAAATGGAGTTTAATGTTGTGCACCGCCAGGCTGACAGACCGGAAGGAAGTGTTCCGTACGGTAACTCCAGGAGACAGTGACAAAAGACAGGCTCACGACCTCAAGAAGCAATCGCTGTCATACGCCTCTTTCTTTAAGATCTCAACTCGAGTCGTGGCTTGACTCTGCAGCTTACCAAGATACAGTCATCAAAACACCGTTTATAATCAGTGTTTTGCACAAAAAGCTGAGAGTATGGCCGGTCAATGTCGACGGAAATGAACCTCTTTTGTGTCTAATTAACTGCAGCATTGTCTTAGCAGATCTCACGTAAAGTACACACTTTACAAAATTTCATTTTTTAGTAAAATAAACGAGAAAAAATCTTCATGACGACTTAAGTCAGATCCCTGCAAAACGAACCAACACAAAACCGACAGCCTGACTCCAGGCTCGAGTCAAACGCAGACTCCGCCAGACCCCACCATAGGCCCCACTGTAACCTCGTTTGCATTTCTTGAAACCACCACCAGAACTTCATTTTCTTTCCACATCGAACAAATAGCGCACTTGTACAGACACGTGACGGACATTGGCTATTATATTGCGAGTAGATGGATGATGCTAGACTGATAGAAATAAAGAAAGAAAGCAGTAAATAAACGAATAGAAAAGGAAAGGAAAATATAAAAATTAGTGAAAGGGGAAAGAAAGAAAGAAACAAGGCAGTGGGCATGTCAAGGATAACACATGTACACAAACAGCGCGCCCAGCGAATCCAGAGCGAGTTACCAGGAACAGAATTCAAGATAGCATCACTAAACATTGGGACACAGCCAAACTGTTCCACAATAAAAACAAATGCTGTAACCACTTTAAAATTAAATCGAAAGTGCTGCACTGGTCCACTTTTACTGCTGACTCCCACTTGAAAGCCAATTTTTATTTTTATTTTATAAGAAGTCTTTTGACGGCTTCCACACTGGAGCCACCTCACCGGTCAAATGTCATAAACTGATTACGGTTATAACAGCACACACATAATAAATATTAACCCACAAGATCCTTTAAAACCAAATGATCACCAACCAGCCAACATTGCTTATTGTATTTATGGGTTATATTCAATTCATGTAGACCAAAATGTAACACCGTACTTATATTCAAATTATAAATACGTGCGATGTGAAAACGGAAGGTAAATTTCTAATAAACTTTGAGGATAAACGAACACATTTCCATATGCATTCATTTCGCGCAAGTGATTCATAAAACTCGGAATAAACTTGGAGGAATGGACATCGCAATATCAACGTTTGCAGTGACTGTACGTACAGACACAACCACAAATCAACTGGGGATCATAAAACGTCTAGACAGTAATGCTCGAGATTGTACTGGGAGGGGTAAAGTATCATGAGAGAAATCGCCATAATGATTTACTGACGGAGTCAAGCTGTATCCCGCCCACATGTCCGATCAAGAGAAACGAACTCGGTACATTGCAAACGTCCCCTTTCCAATGCGAAAATGTCTCTTATATGCAATTCTAAAAGTGAAAAGGGAAAAAATAAACAAACAAACGAACACAAAATGAAAAACAAACACGATTTAACGCCGCTAATACAAACGTCCGTCACCGGACACGATCCCGAACCACTGAGTCATCACGACCTATTCCTCTTGGATTCATTTTAATAACATGCATGTACCTATTAATCTTGGATTCATTTTAATAACATGCATGTCCTTTAGTCCCTGCTTCGTCTTTCAAGTCGCTGTCTTTTGAGAGGTTTCTTCATCAAGGTATCCAACTTCTTCTAGACCTGTTAAAAATTCATTCAGACGTTCTTATCGACATGCGGGCAACAAAGTTACAAATGAAAAAAAAATTGGTGAAACACCATCGCATTGTATTAAAAATTCTACTAAATTAAGCCTATTATAAAAAAACAGGTCCTTTAATCAGAAATCAGTATTTGATAAGATTTGTGAAATTGGGTCACCAAATACGTAATTTCTTTGCGTTTTCGTTAGCACGTCTTCGATTTTTTTTAAGAAGATATCGGATGAGCGAATCTGCGTTCGGATGACGAGTTAAGAGAAGGGTTTGTATGAGGGAAATTTCATGATGCGAATCTTCGTAAAGCGAGGACTGACTGTACACTGTACTACTGTGAGATGCGTATGTTTTTCTTCTTCGTTGTCGAAAAATGTGTCAGGCCTTCACGGGCAACACCGTCTGAACTTTCTCCAAAGATGGTATAACAAATGGAGGGGCTGGGAACCACGCCAAACTTATTGTCTTGGATATTAATGCTACCTTCCGCGTTGTCAGATTACTTAAGGACACTTTCTCATCTGTACAGATTACGTACCGTGGAATGGCAGGAGGATTACGGTTAATCACGAATTCTGAAGGACATATATACGCAGGTTTCAAGACGAAGAATTGAACCCTGGACATCAAAATACGAAGCAGAAGTGGCGTCCACTCAGATGTGATGTCTCTTTCTTCTACCACAATAAATTTACAATAACTAGTCAAGTATAACATCTAACTACTCAAAGTTTAGCTTTAAGGCGGGTGGACACGGTCTGCAACTGAACTGCAGGGGTCTGATGCAACTTGCAAATGTTACGGTGACTCAGTGACCAAGTTAGTGGTTTTTGTCTGTGGCACGTTCCGAAAATCCGTCTACCGGGACGAAGCCTGACGAGACTGTTAAGCAAGAGCACAAACTCCAGAGTTTCCATACGCGTTCTTTGACATTCTGCATCCATTACTCACTCGCTAATGTGTGAGGCGGGGCCTCGGACTTCGCCAGAATCTCTTTAACCCTTTAAATCCGAGCGGTAGATACAGTGTGTCTCAAAAAGATGAAAACGCACATTCAATTAATGAAATAAAGACATTTTAATAAACTAACACATTACATACGTGAGCAATGGCACTTAGTAAATCTAGTGCATGTTGGTCTTCGTGTAAAGTGACCATTATTATTGTTCTATTTCAACCAAAATTTGAATGTGCTGGCAAATATTAGTACAAATTTCAAATATAAAATTTTATGAGTTTTCATAAAAATTTTAGGCGTTCTCGAGTTGTCCGTCTGACGGAGCGATTTTATTGGGCACCTAAAGAGGTCATGGGAGTTAGATCTGGAAATCTAAGAGCCCAGGGTTGACCTGCAAAGCCATTCTATCTGCTAATAAGTATCTACATCCCATCAGGAACACTTTTTAGACTAAATGATTGGACAACTTGGGATATGTAATTTCTCATTGTCATTACTGTTGTTCTGGGTTGTGACGCCATGTGGACTTGTAGGGCTTAAGATGGAGACAGCATGTCGGAAACTCTGGTATCTACGCTGCGTCACAACCCAGAACAACAAGGATGTATTCACCGTCGTCATAATTTTAAATTCCATACGAATTTTTGCAGTTGTTTCCATATAATTTGATCAAAACTGTACCTGTGAGCGTGGCGACGCCGGATGTCTGTTTGTGGGCGGGCAGCGCCCCCGTCTGGAGCCCCGTTCCGGGTCCTGAGGCGTACTTGACGGGCTTGAAATGGAAAAATGACGGCGAATACCCAGACCCCGCAGGACTCAGCGAACTGAACCGTTCCTCGCGGTCTTCGACGTAGACGCCCTCCTTGCCCATCGCAGCCAGCTGCCGTCCCTTCGGCATGAACATAACGAGGAACACGATGGTGGCGGTGCTGACGAGGCCGAACGCGAGACACGCGTCGCGGTGACGCTCAGGCACTACCAATCCGCACAGCATCCAAATCAGCCACACTGGGATGCTGCAGCCTACCGCCAGGCCGATGAACGTTGCCTCGCGGTAATTGTCACGAATTCCTCGGGACTTGATGGCGAGGACTGCCACGAAGATAATCAAGCACATGACGTAGAGGAGGGAGAGTAACAGGTCTGTATACGGGGTGTGGCAAAGGAGGAGATGGTCGGCTGCGATGTCCTCCGCGGTGACGAGCAGCCTGTGGTGGCGAGGGGGGGTCTCT